CGCACACGTGGAAGAGTGTAGTGTGCGTGTGTGCACACGCAGAGGAGTGTCGTGTGCATGTGTGTGCACACGTGGAGGAGTGTAGTGTGTGTGTGTGTGATTAAATAAGAAAATCCTGCCTTGCCTCCTCTCCCCCAGCCCGCCCCTGTGTGTTTCGTTTTGTTTTAACAAACGCACACTCAGTTTTTAGTTGACTATGGGGAGGATCGTAAATTCTATCAGTTATTGGAGCACTCTTATACAATAGTGACTGGAGCTAATTAAAACAAAGAGCCATCTGTATTCAATCGAACTTTATCCTAAGCCCTATAACATTCATTTCCAGTTTGGTCATTCAAAGGCAATGGTAACTTTGCATTCCAATGTCCCTGAATCACGTTAACCCATCTTCGCCTTTTGTTAATAATACTAATGACAGGGCTCTCTGCAGACGTCAAGGTGCCGCACAAGCGCTCTGCTAAGGAGAGGAGACCGTTCCGATGCACTGCAATGCGAGATAACCTCCAACACCGATCGCAAACCGTTCGTTTGGACAAACGTTGAATCAGAGTGACCAGGCGCAGTAAACATTAGTCAGACTGATGGCTAATTGATTTGGTTTGCCTTAAAACTAGACTAATTTTCACCGAGGTATTTCAGTTGCAATTCTGAGTTCTTAATTGGTTCTGATGTCTATTTGCATTTCCTGGGGCTACAGCTTTAATGCTTTAATGAGAACTTGGAGAAACAATCAGCCAATCCGTGGGGGCCCAGGCGGGGCTGGGCTAGCTGGGCTGTTTACCTCCCCCCATTTTTCCTGACTGGCAGAGCGCTTTGATAGCAGTCCTGCCAGGAGCTTATTAGGAAACCGCACAAAAGGGGATTTTATTCAAAGACATTTAACTGCCCCAGCCTCTGCCTAGGAAACCTACCCTTCCCTCCGTCGCCTTTCTGGGAACGCCCTGCCCACAGACCCAAGCTCACACACCCAAAACCAAGCCGGTCCGCGGCTGCAGGGGTGGGCAGGTCTGGGGCATGGTGGCACTCAAGCTTTGCCTGGAATCTGCCTCTGCTGCCTGGGCATACGTTCCTCACGCACGCACGGGTCTCTGGTCCTGCTTCTCTGGGTGCTCCCCCGTGCACAGGCCTGCTGGGCTGCTTCCCATCCCCCGCAAGGCCTTGGACCCCGCAGGTGCACAGCTGGTATTTTGAGAAGGCAAGGAAGAGTAGTAGAGTTGAGTCCCTTGGAAAGTTTTGTGGTTCAGTCACCAAGAACAGAGGATGTCGCTACAGCAGATGAAGCCACTGTATCTACTCTAGACCAGGCTGAGGACTCCAGACGCGGGAGGGTCGGGCTGCCTACACCCGGCAGATCACCTACGTGTGTGAAGACAGTGCTGCAGCGACTTCTCTCCCAGCTCAGCATTTTCCCCAGGACGACAGAGCATGGCCACTTTGGACCTCACAGAACCCAGGCCCCTCCATGATCACGCCGCACTCCTTGCCCGGATCACACGTGGATCACACGTGGCGCTCAGCCACGTGCCAGGTCTGCTTGTCCCTCTCCACTTGCCCCACTCTGTGGCAAAGAGCAACTACAATTTGTCTTTGCTCTCCAGAGGAAGAAAACGTACCAGCCCATAGGAAAAACATTTCTTCAAGTCCCATGGTGCAGGCTCAAGTACATATAATCATAACTCTTTATGATTAGATGAGTGATACATTAAAATGCCTAATAAGCACATGGTAATCCCTAAATAAACATTAAATTCCTCTTCCTTGGTATTAAGGAAAAATGCAATTAGCAAAATTGGATATCTATCTCTTTGCATCTGTATGTCCATCCATCCATTCCTCACCCACCCATCCCATCCATCCATGTTTCCATCTACCAATCATCCATCCATTCAACTACCCACCCATCCATCCACCCATCCACTCACCACCCATCCATCCATTCAACTACCCACCCATCCATCCACCCATCCACTCACCACCTAGCCATCCATTCAACTACCCACCCATCCATCCACCCATCCACTCACCACCCATCCATCCATTCAACTACCCACCCATCCATCCACCCATCCACTCACCACCCATCCATCCATTCAACTACCCACCCATCCATCCACCCATCCACTCACCACCTAGCCATCCATTCAACTACCCACCCATCCATCCACCCATCCATCCATTCAACTACCCACCCATCCATCCACCCATCCACTCACCATCCATCCATCCATTCAACTCCCACCCATCCATCCACCCATCCACTCACCACCCATCCATAACTCATCCACCCACCCATCCATCCATCCATCCCTCATCCATCCATCCATCACTCATCCATCCATCCATACCTCATCCATCCATCCATACCTCATCCATCCATCACTCATCCATCCATCCATACCTCATCCATCCATCACTCATCCACCCATCCATCCATCACTCATCCATCCATCACTCATCCACCCATCCATCCATCCATCCATCCATCCCTCATCCATCCATCCATCACTCATCCATCCATCACTCATCCACCCATCCATCACTCATCCATCCATCACTCATCCACCCATCCATCCCTCCATCACTCATCCATCCATCCCTCATCCATCCATCCTTCATCCATCCATCCCTCATCCATCCATCCACCCACCAATTCGCTCTTTCATTCATCCATTCCTCATTCGCCCACCCATCTGTCCACCTTTAAAATGAATTTAGAAACACATTCCAGCCATGTCCGCCTTTTCACAGCCCACTGCCATGAACAAGCTCCCCTGGGACCCATGGAACAATGACCCGGAGGGCGGCAAGGCAAGCAGAGTGCCCTGGGATAAACTTTTCTCCCATCCCCCGGCTTGACCAATGCAGAGGGAGCCGTGACTGTCAGTGGAGTATACAAGGGACACCAAGAACCCCTTTTCCATGGAAACCTTACTACAAATGCTCTCTGGGAATAGCTGAAATGGTGTCATGTGCCAGCCAGGGAGCCCAATCTAGCACTGAGCACGTTGCTATCGAGAGAAGATAACTTCTGGGGAGGCACAGTGAGGCTACAGGCTAGGCTACTGCTTGGGACGCCGGAATCTCATACCAGAGCGCCGGCTGCTCCACTTCCAATCCGCTAATGCACCTGGAAAGTGGCAGATGAGGGCCCAAGTACCTGAGTCCCCCGCCACCCCGGTGGGAGACCCAGAGGGAGATCCTGGCTCCTGGCTTCAGCTCTGGGCGTTTGGGGAGTGAACCAAAAGAAGGAAATCTTCCTTTCCCTCTCCCCTCTACCTCTGTCACTCTGCCTTTCAACTAACTAAATTAAAAAGTGTTTTTTAAAAGAAAAGATAACTTCCACGCTGTGCTCTAAAACCACGATCTACCAAAGGCCGCCTGATGCGCGAGGGCTGCTACTGCTCCGGACGTGACCTTTGCTTTCTCTCGGGGCAGTCATCCCCTCGGTGACTGTCACATGCTTTTCTCTGGTCTGCTTAATCGTCACCCCCCCACTGTCAGCTCCACTAGCCTTGCTGTGGACAGAGCCAGCCACAAGGCAGATATTCCACAAATACCCATTGAATAGAGGAACTTACTGAAGGCTCACTGGAGCACCTTAATTTTTTAATATTTAAATTTTTAATATTAACCAACCATCTGTTGACTGATAGGTGTCAAACACTAATTTCAAACTTATGTAAGATGTATAATTAACCACTTAACAGATGTGAATTACATTAAACCTTCAAAGGTTAGCATCTGGGGGTGGGGAGGCAGCATTATGATGTAGCAGGTAAAGCTGGTTCAAGTCCCGGCTGCTCCACTTCCAATCCAGCTCCCTGCTAATGTGCCTGGGCAAGCAGCAGAAGATGGCCCAAGTGCTTGGGCCCTTGCACCCACAAGGGAGAGGTCTTCCATCTTCTGGTTCACTCCCCTAATGGCTGTAACTGCCGAAGTTGGGCCGATCTGAAGCCAGGAGCCAGGAGCTTCTTCTGGGTCTCCCACATGCATGCACGGATCCAAGGACTTGGGCCATCTTCCGCTGTGTTCCCAGGAGTATCTCAGGGAGCTGAATGGGAAATGGAGCAGCCAGGACTAGAACCAGCACCCATATGGGATGCTGGCATTATAGGCGGTAGCTTTACCCGCTACGCCAGAGTGCCAGCACCTAAAATAAATTTTTGAAACAAACAAACAAAAGATTAGCTTCTTTGCGAGAGTAGGGGTGGAGGTTCAGCCTAGTGGTTAAGATGCCTCTGTCCCAAATCAGAGTACCTGCGTTAGACACCTGGCTCTGGTTCCCGACTCCAGCTTCCCGCTAATGCAGGCCCTGTAGGCCGCTGCGATGGCCCAGCTGTCGGGTGCCCGCCACCCATGGAGGAGCCTTGGATTGAGCTCCCAGATCCTGCTTCGATGTGGCCAGCCCCTGCCACTGCAGGCACTTGGAAACACTCAGAGGGTGGGCACTCTATTGTCTCTCTTCTGTCCTCAAATAAATATTTTTTTTTAAAAAGGTTAGCCTCTTTTCAAATTTCTGTTTTACATCTCAAAGAGCACATGCATTTTAATGCAAAATAGTTACATTTACTTCCCTGGTTTAAAATGTGCAGCAACTTTTAAGATATGTGTTAAAACAACGACAAAAACATCTGTCTGGTTTTGAATTTCATTACTGAAATATTTGCTAGAATTGCCTAGTGTTTTTACTTTATGGATAAGATTCACATATACACCTCTCATAATTACAGTGTATTTTGTTGGTTTTTTAAATATTGCTAGTGCTACCCTAGCATGATTGCTACTCCCAACTAGAGTGAGGAATTCAAACTCTCAATGTGACAAGGGATCTAATATTTGGAGGATGAAGGATTTGGATGGTTTGGTGCATAGCTGCACACCTGCCTTGTCTTATTCAGAGTGGGCAGTGAAAACAAACGTCCATCTCGTACCGCATTAACGTCCACCCTCAGCCATCATCGGTTGGACCACCAACCCACCCGCTGCGGCCCCGCGGGTACCTGGGGGTCCATTCTGAGGAAGGTGTGAGGGCCTCTGCTACTCAGGGTCGATCTCTTAAAGGTTTTGCTGTGGTAGAAATGGTAGTAGTCCTCCAGGTTGCCAATCTGGAAAAGAAGAAAAATCCATCAGCGACAGCGGGCTGACGGACAGCCTCCTGCACCCCACAGAACGGCCCGTGCCTTTGAGGTTTAACCTGTCCGGAGAGGAAATACAACCTCCCCGCCCCACCCCCGCCACGCTTCCCACTCAGAGCCCTGCCTGGTTCAGGGTTTATGAATGGGGAAGCCGATCCAGAGCCCCGCCCCCTTGTAGATAAACAGCACGAAGCAACATTTCGCACAAAGAACATTCTTCACCAAACCCTGGGCTGAGTGCGTAACACTCAGAGCCTGGACCAGGCTGGCCAGGATGCTTCAGACGCGAATTAGTGTTCATTTAGGGACAAGCATCCCCAAAGTAGCTAAGTTAGTGTCAAGTCAGGTCCACACCAAAATATTCCCTTATAAACAAACCCCGTCCTCTCCACCCCATGGGTAAACTGAAATATCTAAGAATGAACACTCGGTCTCAAGTGCAACACGGGAGCCAAAGAAAACACACAGACCCATCTGCTCGGGATTGTGGGACGGTCAGGAGAGAATGGCCCAAGCGCCTGGGGCAAGGGGGAGGGGCGTCCCGCTTTCCCGCCAGGGCCAGTTTGGGGGGACTGGAGGGGAGACTGCAGGGAACCCTGAGAAGCCAGGGGGCCCAGGTGCCAGCCTTCAAGGACCTCGTCAGCTCTGCTGTGGCGCTGACTCGCCCACGTGTCTGAGACACGGCTCCCAGGGGGCTGCTTCTCATGCTAACTCGCACTGGTTGGCAGTCACCACCCTTGAACGTTTTAAGCAAAGATGGGCTCAGTGGGTTTAGTTCTTGTTCATCTGACTGTGCCCACAACCTTATCACGGGCATGCATGTAGAGGAGCAAACGGCACCCGGAGGGCCCGCTACCCTCCCAGAAACATCAGAAATAGCCCTGCAGACAAGCAGAGATGACTTGTCCTGGACAGCAGGCACGTGTGCAAACTGCACACATGTGAGATGCACTTCACTCAAACCGTCCACGCCCTCATTTACCACCATTAGTCGTGTGACCATGAGCCAGGATATTCAATCCCTGTGGATCTTGATGCCTTAGCTGTGACAGAGGGGAGACCCTCCTGGAGCTATTTAAGGGCACGCTCCCAACAAGCCCTCGCCTGCCCCCCTCACTCACAGCCATTCTGTCTGCCAGGGTTGACCCAGTAGACCTGACTGGTCCAACAGAGACCTGGATGCTGCTAGAGAAGATACAGCAGGGGCACGGCCGCGTGGGTACCCTGTAGCTCTCCTTCCCAGCAACGCTGGCAACCTGCCTGCCTCCTGGTTTGGGGTTAGAAGACACCCCTGTGTCCGTGAAATAAAGAACCTCTTTTTTCACTTAGGCTGGCCCTAGTGTGTTTCTAATACAACCACAGAGCATCCAATACTGGGACAGCCAGGAGACTCCAAATAGCTATCATCTGTATAATGCCTCTAACCCGCCAGGAGCTCAACAAACAGAGCAGGCATTGGGAGCTGGGACTGTCTCTCGGCCCCTCTCTAAGCTCTCCCATTCCCCTCCCAAGATGATCTGGGTTTTGGCCAAATCTGGGTCTTCACCTAATTCAACCCTTCCCTGCTGGATGAGCCGGTTTCGCCCTCTCTGGGTCTCAGTTTTCTCCCGACACCGAAGACCATGCTTCCAAGGATCATTTCTATAGTTCGCTCCTGAGACCAACAACGACCACCTTGCAGGGTTGCTCCAAGCTTCAGATGAGAGAGACACGTGTGCGAGCCAGCAGGGCACCGGGGAGGTGAAGCCCCTGACAGCTGGGTTTCTGCAACTCAGTCTCAGTTCATTTTCTGCCATCACGAACCTCCTAAGATCGGTCCTCTTTTGCATGGGGCATTTTGATTTCTCCCCTACAGATAAGTCACCTTGCTCATTTCCCCAGCAAAGTTAATTGCCACCTACGCCCAAAGGCTCTGGTCATGGCACAGAGCTGTGTCTCATCACGTGTCTGCCTACAAGCTGCCACCCCCGTCCCTGGGAGACATTACATAAGCTTCGGTCATTCTGGGCGTTCAAGTCAATTCCTAGTCTGAGACACGGAGAACCCAGGAGCTGAATGAAATTTCCTGGCAAAAGAATCGAATTAATTGCAGAGCAGCTGACACTTGGAAGGCCCGTGTCAGGGCGGCCCCTGGAAGCCACCCAAGGAGGCATCGGGCCTTTGGGTGGCTGAGCCAGGCCAGAGGCGGCCACCCTTCCCCTGGAAGCCGATCCCAACGCTGTCCAGCCCCTGGATCGGGACAGCCAGGACCATTCTCAGAAATGGCTCATGGGGTCTGAGCTGAAGGGAGCCGTTCTTCCCCTTAAACAATCCAGGAAAGGAACAGATGGTCTCGTCCCCAGAGAGTGGACCAGGCAAACCGCATCTGGGGACAGGACTGGCCAGCTCCACATCTGTTGGGATGTACGTCCGGCCCAGGGCAGAGCTGAGGGTCTGGGGAGGGGAGGAGCTGCCCTCCTGCCTTGCAGAGCCCGCTGCTGAAGAAGCTGCAATCATCGCATTACTCTCCTGGAATCACACGGTGGTTGTCCTTCTGTGATTATCTCACATATTTTACTGTTTTCACTGATTCCAATCAGCCCAGTTTCCCCATGCCTCCTCCACGTGGGCAAACTTCCCTCCTGGTTTAAGGCTGAATGCTGCCCCACCCCATGCACGTACACTGACTTAGCCACACCCCACCAAGGGGCACATGGGTAACTTCCACCTGCTGGACGCCGCGTAACACTGCTATGATCGCAGCCCACAATATTCGTACAAGACTCTCCCTTCATCTCTTGAGTAAATTCTCACCTCTGGTTTTGTAAGCTCTACTAGAACACGGCCACACCCACCCACTCACTTGTGCAGCCCCTTCCGGTCTCTCCTCCCCAGTGCTCCCAGTCCCCCGGGCTTCTCACCGACCATCAAACCCAGAGACACCCTCCCCCAATCTGGGAAGCAGCTCCCTCAGATCTGAGTGCTTTCAAGAGGAAAGAGGAGTCGCTGGGCTTGGCCAGGGTCACCTGGGGGATGTGGCCGCTGGCCTGGGAAATGAGGGAAACCTGTCAGCCCTCTGGCCTTGACTCCCAGTATTTATGGGAAAGAGCCACAGAGATGGCCCCATACCACGGATGAGGAGACTGAGGCCAGGTTCAGTTCAAAGTCACAAGGTGCGAGCCAGTAGTCTCCTCACTCTGCCCGCAGAAGAGCGAGTGACAACATTCGATACCACATGACATACAGGGGCACAAAATAGTCTGAGATGATTGCTATACTTCTGGTATGTATACACACACACACACACACACACTTCGAGGTCAGAATGGCAGGGGCTGGACTCCTAAGGCAGCCCACCCCTACCTCTGTGTGTGTGTTCCAACACCCACAGTGGGTCCTGGGACCTTCCCACAGTCCCAGCCCTGGGTGTCCTGGGCTTACTTCTATGCATACACACCCATGGTAGAGTTTAGCTTAAATCAGGTGCAATAATAAAATGGAACCATTGTAACACTACGCCGTAATAAAAGTCTGTTGGCGTTTTTACATTATTTCTCTCTGGAACTTTCCACTTCATATTTTCAGACTGTGACCAGCCTCACATAACGAGACCATGGAAGGAACGAAACCATCACAGTAGCTGCTCCTCCCAGCTCGGCCGCCGTCCCCCGGCTGTGGCTTGGAGTGGCGTCTACACAGGTGGCGGCCGCTGCTCTGCATCCCACTTCTCAAACCAGGGTCTGAGCAGCCTACTAGCTTCCAGGGGACACCGCTGCTGGCCACCATGGTGGCCCCCATCTCCCTGGACGCTGCCTGGCCCTGCCCCACCCCCCCTTCCCAGACCCCCATCTGCTCCTCGTCAATGAATCCGGTCTAGGAGGCATTGTTTGTCAAAGTTACAACATGAAGTTCCAATATGCACTTCTGCTCTGTCGTGCCCAGGGTTAATTGGAGCCAGCCTCTTTGTGCTTTGTCAACAAACCACTCGCTCAGCATGGGATGTTCACGTCTCTCCCCGCTGATACGTCATCGTACACACTGCTTGGTAAGGCCGGTATCATCATTAAGGTCACCTTGAAAAGCCTCGGCAATTGTTCTCAAGCAGAACTTGGAAGAATCGACATGGAAGCACCCAGAGTCGAAGGTGGTTTAATGCCCTTGAACCGGACATTCAGATGACGGGGATACTGCAGAAAGTTTGCGATAAACGGAATTAAAAGGAGTTTATTTTGGTGCAAAACTCCATGCACATGCATTTTCATGAACTTTCTGAAGACCACACGGTATCCAACGTGGAAGGCACAGACCGGTGTCGAGTTGGCGAGAAACAGAACGCGCCCCCTTCCTCTCCTGTGCCCGCTGAAGTCCCCAGCCTCCACTGAGCGCGCCCAGCTCCCAGCTCCCAGAGCTGCTGACGCTCACCGGGTGCCTCCCCACACCGGCAGCCAGCTCCGAGTCCAGCTACGGGGCACACCCTCACAACAGCCTCAGAGACAGCTACTGTGATGGACACAGGCGGTGCTCAGTGCCCGGGTCCCAGACGGGTGCTGCTGGATCAAACCCACACCCCTGGAGGGTGCAGACACCCACAGCTCGAAGCTACAGCTCAGTCACTGCCGTGGGCTCTCGACAGTCAGCACACACAGTGAACACAGGCTGTCCGAGGCTGCTTGCTGCTGCCATTTTTACAGTAAACTCGTTTTTAGGGTCGGAGGAGCGCACCCTAAATAAGGATGAAAAGTCGAGTAGGGCAAACCCAGCAGCAGAAACACAGGCGCCTGTGGTCACGCGTTGCGTTTACACCAGTGTCTCCCACGCCGGACTCAACAGCGTCACCATCACTAGGCGACAGCAAGTTCTCATCATATACGCACTTGGTGGCTGAAATGCCATGACGTGACATGGCTGTGTGTGTATTCAGGCGTGTGTGTGCACACATATGTACATGTGCTGGTATATATAGGCATGTATGTATGTATTCAGATGTGTGT